CACCCAGCCCAGCACGATAAGGATCTTGCAGAGCCCTGAGGAGTTTACAGTCCCTCTGGGAGACCTGCAAGGATTTAAGAGGTTGGACTCAATGATCTTAGAGGTCTTTTCCAGCCTAAATGACTCTGTGATCCGGGGTGCTGGACTCTCAAGGCAAACACAGGCTTTTGCTGCCGGCTCTGGAAACAACAACTGTCATTTTCTTTTTTTGGAAGGAGTTAGGACAACAAAAATCTGTCTCCCCACAGAGTCTGGCAAGACTCATCCAGTCCTGTTGAACAGAAATCACAGTAATATCTGAAACTGGAACGAAACCAAGAGAACTGGAACAAAACAAAGGGCTGGAATGAAGGTGGGAGACCCCCAGGAGCACTTTGGGACGACAAAACCACTGATGGGTTTTGCCTCCAGGAACGTTTGCAGGGAACCTGCTCTGGTGTTTTTTCACCTTTTCCATGCGGATCCTGTCTCCACACTCGGCCTCCAGGACGTTGTCCATCATGATGAGGTCCTCACTGGTGATTTTCCACTGCTTGCTGGCGAAGTGCACGACGGCGAAGAGGCGCCCGTAGCGCCCGGCCGCGATCAGCCCGTTCACCTTCTGCACCACCTCTGCTGGCAAACAGGGCCAGCATCAGGGCAGCACACCCAGGGAGCTGGCAAGGGCTGGGAAAACCCACCCAGCCACCCTGCTCCCCCCCCAGCACTCTTATCTCCTGGGAATCTTTGAGCAAGGATCAACCGCAGCGTTGCTTCCCAGATGTGCGAGCCTCCCTTTCTTAAAATTAATGATTTATTTGTATTTTAGGTGCTGGCAAAGCCACACATAAGTAAACATCTTGTATACACTGTGCAGCTTCTCTACCCTGCTGACTCTCAGCCCATTCCTCAGGCATCCCAAAATACACTGTAGTTGGATATAAAGCATTCCAGAAAAGAGCTCTTGTGCATGCACCCTGTGTTTGGAGGAAATTCCCTCCATTTCCAAGTCATATGCAGACAGCCCAGGGCTCTGAGTTGTGCTTAAGGCACAGAGGAACATCGGGAAGAGCTTGGCTGAACACCAGGGAAAGCCTGGCCCCAGAAGTTGTACCTGCAGCAAGGACAGGAGAGACCTGCCCCTTGCTCTTTCCCAGAAAAGCCTCCTCCCACGTGCATGCAGAGTGGTGCCAGGAGCAGGACAGAGCCCAGAGACCAGGCCCTGCACATGGACAGACTCCACTCCCTGTGATCAGCTTCCTGGGCAGTGAATCCAGCCCCAGTTTTTATGGGAACACCAAAAGATGTTGCTGCCTGACACCATCCCACTGCCAAACAGCAGCTTCCCACCCTCCTGAGCTGCTCAGAAAAACACATTAAAAAGTGGCTGAATCATTGGTGGTTTTTTTTTCTTGGAATGCAAACAGAACATCCCTTTGGGACAGACAGGAATCCAGCAGCCAGGCAAACCCAACCCAATCCTTACAGGAACGCTCAGAAAAGGTCCAAGCTTCAAGCCCTAGGATACAAACTTAAAGGTACAGGTAGGAACACAATTATTTGCAGGGCAGGAGCTGCTGCAATTCCCACCAGGATAAAGAGTTGTTGACAACTCTCCCAACACCTCCAGTGCCAGGAAACATCAAGTGATTGCTGGCTTGGATCTCAGCACCATGTGGAGAGACCCATCCTAAAATATCCGGGGCTGTTTCCATGGGCAGCAGGAGGCAGAGCTGGAAAGCTCCTGCTGCTGTTCCCTTTGGATGAGCACAGCCAGGAGAGAAGGATGCAATGCTCAGCAGCAGCAGGAGGCAATGGCATGGGAGCAGGATGGCAGCAATCCCTGAGGAGGGGACCCTGCTCCCCACGGGGCTGGCAGGGAGCAGTCTGTGGTTCACTGCTGGGTTATTTCTCACACAGGGACAGGCACCCATCTGGCACCTGAGTGATTGTTGATACTGACTTCTCATCACAGAGCAGAGAAAAAGCAGGATCAGAGCAGGCCAGCAGGAGATGTGGAGCAGGAGGCTCTCCCCACAGCACACCCCTCAGTCAGGGACACACTCCAGCCAGTGATGGGGGACATCTGCAGGGAGGTGAGCTCAGATCTTCTTGTCAACCTTGTCACCCAGCCCAGAGCACTGAGTGCCACATCCAGCCATTCCCTGGATACCCCCAGGGACAGGTGGGGACTCCAAACCTCCCTGGGCAGCCCCTCCCAGTGCCTAACATCCTTTTCCAGGAAGAAATTCCTCCAACCTGTCTCTTCCCCTGGCACAGCTTGAGGCTGTTTCCTCTCACCCAGCAGTCCTGACAAGCTGAGGGGACAGGGACACGACCCCCAGTGTTCTGTCACACTGTGTCCCACCTCTGCAGGTCTGTCCTGTGCCCACCATCCAACTGCTCCTGCTGGCTGGATGCTCTGTTTCGTGCACCAAAATACACCAGCTCTCTGTGTGCCCACCATCCAACTGCTCCTGCTGGCTTTGATTTAGCCACTGAATGGAAAACAACTCGTTTCCCCTGCTTCTCTCATGCTTTAATTTCTTTAATATAGTGTTTCATGTCACATATCACGTCAGGTAAGATTCCTCTGGGAGAGTGACAAGCTGCCATAAACTAAGGAGAAATCATTGTACCCAAATCTCCCAAACCTGGAGAGCAGCTAGAGCACAATTCCAGATACACTAAAACACATGAGAAATGAAATTCAAAAAAAATAAGTGAAAAACACTAACTTCCAACTGAAGATATTTATGCTTCATCAGGCCTTCAGGCAGTGCTGGAAGACCAGATTTGAGACCTTTACCTGCATGATACTTGGCTTCTTCCACTGGATCTGGAAGTTTCACTTCAGGCCATGGGGGCGAAGTCAGGGAAGTTTTGGCAACAAGTCTGTGAAGGACAAGGCAAAATTCACTGCAGCAAGCAGAAACTGCCAAGGGATGGAAAACAGGGAGAGGAAAGAAGGAAAAAGGAGATGGAGTAGAACTGGATATTACTCACAAACACCACAACTCACAAGGCATCAGATTACAGTTAACAATTAGGCAAGAATCTACAATAGCACAAAAGCGATCTTAGATATAAAGAGGAGGGAGATTTGCCTTGGAAAACCCCATGAGATGAACATGAAAGGTCATGGTTTCTGAAATCTCAAAATTTAGCAGATTTTGTAAACACCATCCCGAAACAATTTTGTAAACACCTCCCTCAGCAGTGGGCAGTTCAGGTTTTCCTGCATGCAGAAATCCACACTTTGGATGCACCAAATGCATAAAATATTCAGGAATAAACATGAGACGTAGTGGAAAAAAGCAAAATGGACTCAAAATCCTTTGCAAAGACTGATTTACTCTGTAACCCCAAGGCAAACATCCCAAAGGGCTTTAATTCAATAGGAACTGCAAGCACCTGTGAGCACACAGCCACAGGCACTGAGGCCTCACAGGGTTTAGTGAGATTTTGGGTGCTGCATCACCCAGGCAGGGATCCAAGATCTCTGATCCTTGAGGATGAGCAGGAAGAGGGAACAGTACATCCTGCCATCCTCCCTGGCAGGAGCTCTCTGCTCCTGCAGTGTCCCCTCCTGGTCACAGCCAGCAGCAGCTCCTGCAGGAGATCCCAGCACAGGGAATGGAATGAAGGCACAGCAGGAGATCCCAAAGGGATGGAAAAAGCAAAGCCTGAAGATGCCATTGGAAGAGGTGTCACAGGATTCCTGAAGGGTTTGCCTTGGAAGGGATGCTAAAGCTCATCCAGTCACAACCCAAGGCAGGGACAATTTCCACCAGACCAGGTTGCTCCAAGCCCTCTTCAACCAGGCCTTGAACATTTGCAGGGATGGAAAAAAAAAACAAACAAACAAAAAAAAACAACCAAACAAAAAAAAACCCACAAACCACCCCCAAAAATGAAGAGAAGCATCCTTCTGGGAAAGGTGACTGAAGGCAGGCAGAGCCCAAAACACTGGGGAGTGACCAAGGGGCAGCCAAGTCTCCTTCCCAGAGGAAAGCCAGCTGCCCTCCCAGCCTGGAGGCAGGGCAGCATTCCAGGGGGAAGAGGCAGAGTGATGGATGTGTGACATTACCCTGCCTGTGGGGATGAGCTCTGGGAGCTCCTGTGCCGGACCACAGCCGAGAGCAGCGAGGCTGAAAGGGAGGAGAAAAAGAGAATTAAACACAGGCAGCAGCTGCTGGGCTTTTGCAGAATTCCAGCATCATTCAGGCTGGAAAAGTCCTCCCAGATCATCGAGTTCAGCCTGTGACTGGTCACCACGGTGTCACGCAGCCCAGAGCAGGGAGTGCCACGTCCAGGCATTCCTGGGACACCTCCAGGGACGGGAATTCCAGCACCTCCCCAGCCTGGGAAGGAGATTGATAAAGTCCATCCTCTCTCCCATCCACTGGATTTTGCTGAAGGATTTATGCCAAGATGCAAAGAACTGTGTAAAGCTGATTCTTTTTGTTAATATTCCTTGACTTTGGTGCTGCTCCGAGGCTGATGGTGGGAAAGACCCAGATCCTTCCACCTCTGGGAAGAGCTCCAGGGCCCATCCTGCAGGTGCAGGGCCGGGACACAGAGGAGGCAGCAGTGGGGACCCTGACTCCTGCCAGCCTCCTTCCCTCCCTCCTCCCATGGCAGGAGCAGGCAGAGCACAGCCCTCCCATCCTTCCTTTCCTCCCAGAAAGATGAGGATGCTGGCAGAGCATCTTCCTCCATTCCTTCCCTCCTTCCCAGCAGCAATCAGAGCTCCTTCCTTTTCCTGCTTCCCTCCTTCCCAGCAGCAGGCAGAGCTCCTTCCTTCCTCCCTGCCTTCCCTCCCAGCGCCAGGGGCAGAGGTTGTTCCTCCGTGTCCCTGTTCCCCGTTCCCGGTCCCCGCTCACCTCCCGCCCGCCGCGCTCGCGCCGCCGCCATCGCGGTGACCTCGCGCCGGACGCGGAACCGCGGGGGCGGGGCCCGGCGCGCGCAGGGGGCGGGGACCGGGAGGTCGAGGGGGCGGGGCCTGCGCGGGGCCGAAGGGGCCATGGCGGCCGAGGCGGCGGAGCGGCACCTGGGGCTGCTGCGGGACGAGCGGGAGGCTGAGCTGGCCCAGAGCAGGTGCGGCACACGCGGCACCGGCACCGGCCGCCGGGGACACGGCACAGACCGCCGGGGGGCTACGGGGCGGCCACAGCCGGGGACACGTGCGGCTGGGGGGGCACGGGAACGCTGTCCCCTATGGGGAACACTGAAGGACCCTCAGCCGGAACCCGCTGTCACCCCTGGGAAACACTGAGGGACCCTCAGCTGGGACCCGCTGTCACCCCTGGGAAACACTGAGGGACCCTCAGCTGGGACCTGCTATCACCCCTGGGGAACACTGAGGGACCCCTCCTCTGGGATCTGCTTTCATCCATGGAAACCCCGAGAGATCCTTCCCTGGTGCCCCCTGTCACCTCTAGGAAACCCTCCTGTCACCGGTGGGAACGCTGCTGGAGTCCCACCGCTCTAACCAGCCCACCCCTATAGGAACCCCACCCCCAGGGCTCTGATCCATGGGGAATCCTGCTGGGCTCACCCTGACAGGACCAAGTCACCCTCTTAGATGGCTTTGCTGGGGGTACAGACACGTACCCAGCCGGGAGGATGGAGGTGCCAGGCTAAGATCATTCTGCTCTGTCCCCTGGAGCTGTGACCCTCACCCTGTGGTGTTCCCACCCTGGTGGTTCCCAGGGCATGGCAGGAGAGCGTCTCCCTGAAGGAGTTGCAGCGCAGAGGTGTGTGCTTGCTCAAGCTCCAGCTCAGCAGCCAGAGAACCGGCCTCTACGGGCGTCTCCTCGTGACATTCCAGCCCAGGAAGCAGGACTCGGACACCGAGCTGCCCTCCAACAGCTTTGGGCCTGGTCAGTGACACTCCCGCTTTCCAAAGAGATCATACAGCCTAGAATGGTTTGGGTTGGGCAGGACCTTAAAGCCCATCTAGTCCCACCCTCTATGGGCAGGGACATCTTCCCCTATCCCAGGGTGCTCCGAGCCCCATCCAGCCTGGCCTTGGATGCTCCAGGGATGGGGCAGCCGCAGCTTCCCTGGACAGTGACACATTTCCCCACCTCACTGTTTCCTTTCCAACCTCTGCAGGGGACATCGTGGGGCTCTATGAGTCGGCTGGGCAAGGGGACCCGCTGTGCACGGGCGTGGTGACACGTGTCACCCCCAAGGCAGTGACGGTGGCCCTGGAGGAGGCCCGGGATGGGAAGCTGGCCCTGGACCACGAGCGCTCCTTCCGCCTGCTCAAGCTGGCCAACGATGTCACCTACAACAGGCTCAAAAGGTGAGGGCTCACCCCAGCCCACTCTGCCCAGCGGGATGGGGAGTGCCAAGCTTAGTTTGGAAAAGCCTTCCCAGTCCCTTCCCAGCTTGGATTTGTCATTCTAGAGCCTCCCAACAGCCTCGGTTTACCCACCTGCTGGCTGGTCCTGCTCATCCCTTTCCCTCTCCAGGCTGTGTTTTGGTCCTGTTGCATCACCTCTGGAACACTCTGGGTTCTGTGTGGGGCCTTTTCCATCCTGGCAGGAGGAATGAACAGCTTCTTGCTGGATAAACAACCCAAAAAAGCACATTTGGCTGTACCAAACAGGGACAATGGGAAGTAGAAGCCTGACCAGCACAGGGATGTGTGTGCAAGGGTTGGGAGATGAGGGAATTGTGTGGGATTAGTCTTGTGGGGTAGCATTGTTCAGCTGTGGAATAGTTCAGTCCTTACTCACAGCCTGTCTCTGGGCACTTGGGAGTCTCCAAAGAATTCCTGCTGTGCCTGTAACCTGATCTCCCCTTCTCTGGCAGAGCTCTAACTGCACTCAAGCAGTACCGGGGTGGCCCAGCCTCCGACCTGATCGACGTCCTCTTCTGTGCCTCTGCTCCCAGGGCGTTCCCTGAAACAAGTAAGGATCCTTTTTTTATCAGGCTTGAGGGGCATCCTTGGGAATTGCCCACGAGAGCACAAATAGCTCTGATCCCTGTTTTTATCCACACATGCTCCAGAAAAGACCCCAGTGTTCAATGCAAGTCATCACTGGTGCTGCAGCTGGTAGCATTGTGTTCATACTGGTCTGTACTGGGCACACTTTCCTCATAGAAAGAACCTTGGACAAAAACTTGGATATAAGCAGTGTCCACTCTGTTGTGCTTCTTAGGAAGAAACAGAGATTAAATTACACAGCTTCACCTTTTGGGGAGAGCAGAGCCTCTGATCAGCAGCTGAGTCAGATATCAACACCTGCTGATGGATATTATCCCTTGGCAGAAGGGAAGGGAGCAAAAATAAGGGATTGAGGGCTGAGGGTGGGCTGTGTCTAGGCCATGTACAGAGCTCAGGGCTGCTCTCCCCCCTGTGCCATCCGTCCCTGCCAGGGTTCCGCCCCTTTTCCTCCCCTCCACAGCTCCCTGCACTGTTTGTCTTCCTTGGATTCCTGGATTGGCCTGCCACTATGGTTTGCCTTTCTCTCATCCCCTCCAGCCAGGCTTGACTTCTGATAGGATGTGCCAGGGACAAGAAATGGATGTTACTGAGTCCCATCCCCATTTCTCTAAGCACTGATCCCAGTCTGAGTCAAACCTTTCAGTCCTATGGCTGCCCGGGGACCTTGGTGCACTCAAGGTTTTAATATTAAATAAAAGAATTAAATTTTAATCAATCAACTTTCCTCAACAGTGCTTTTACCCCTGAGGAGGCAGAACTGCCTGTAGTGAAGGAAAGCTCCTTTTCACCACATCACTCAGCTGTGCCAGGCTGGGCAGAGATGAATTTTCCATCTGCTCAGCACTGGGAGTATTGCTGGGTAGGTGGAGGCACATTAGACAGACAGAGGAGCTGCAATATGAACTCCAAGGCCTTGCAGTTACCTCCTCCCTCCAGAGCTGCTTTCTCCCCACCTGGAGAGATGTTGTACCAGCCAGGAATTAAGGGATAATAACTTGGAATAAGCCTGCCCTGAGCTGAAGGGCTCTGCCAGGCAAACTTGACAGCACTCAGGCAGCTTTCCCATGTCACAGCCTCTCCTTCCATGACCAAGCACCCATTAGCCTGGTTTCTTTGGGGATGTGTCTCATCCCATCCATTACCTGGTTTCAAACAAGCCCATCAGCAGCAGGCTGAGTCAATAAGCCCTGGACAGCTCCTGAAATTGGCTGTCTAGACACACATCTGTGTCAGCACCGCTCAGGGATGCCAGATGAGCTCACTTCCCTCAGAAACCAGGGAGCCACAGCTGGGAGACAGGGCAAAACCCATCCAGCAGGTGCAATGTGCAGCAGCAGAAGCCTGTTCTGATTTTTTTTTTTTTTGTGGGAGACAAGATGAGAATCCTAATTTTTCAATCAGGGAATCTTGTAGGTGGGTTCTGACACCTCTGTGCATTTCAGTAATTAATTATCAGACAGCAGCAGCCCAACACAACACATCAAAGCCCAAGTCCTTTCAAAACACTTAAATATGCAACAATAAATACTCTTGGCATAAGACAAAAACATGGGACAGGCTGTGGGAAGAATAACCTAAGGAATAGCCAAAAGGAAAGGAAGGGATCTCCAGCAGGTACCTGGGACCTGCAGCAAACATTGGGACTGGCACAAAGCACTTCCACACCTCACCTTGCTGCCTCCAGGAGGGCTCCAAGGGGGAGAACAGCTTTTCCAGCAAGGGCAGACTCTGAACTCAGCAGGAATTTTGCCCTTATCAGACTCCCTGGGAAGCAGAATCCAGGTGCTCACCCATCAAAAATGCCCCTCCTTGTCTCCCTTCCACTTTGATCTGCATCCGTGGCCCTGCTGGAGCTTCCACACCTGAAATCTCCTCCAAACAATCCTCCCCTGCTCCCAGCATCCCTGTGGGATCCCTGCACCCCTACCTTTTGGGAATGGGGGGGACTGGAGAGGTTTTTCTTGCCAGCAGAGGCCAGCATTGCTCTGCTTGCTGTGCTCCTCCTGGCCACCCAAGAGGGACACGTCCCTTTTCCCTTTGGAAAGCAGGTTCTGCTGTACCTGTGCAGGTTGGTGATAGCTGCCAGCTCTCTCCTGTGCTGGAGAAAGTCAGGAATGCTCATTTTTGTTCCTGGCTCCAGAAGGCCTGGCTTGTGTCCAGCTCTGCCCATGGCTGTCAAAACATTTGTAAAGGGAAAGAAGCAATCCTGGTGAAAAGGCAGGAATGTCCCCAGAAAAAACCAACCTGGCAGCAGAGCACTGGCGAAGCACCAGGGATTTCCTGCAAGACTTTCTTGGCTTTTTGGCACAAGTCCCTTGCAAAAATAACATGAAATGCTCCTCATGCCTCTGCCCTGTGACACCTCTTGTCATCACAGGCGCCATGGAGAGGCCTCTGAGATATTTGGGGAAGACAAACAGCTGCCAGATATTTCCTCTGGAGAGCAGGGGAAGTTCTGATCCAGGCTGAAGTACCCAGCTGGATTTTGTCCAGCAGTGTTGGCTGCAGTGAGGAGGAGTTGTTGGGGTTGGGGGTCTGAATTGCTCTTGGTCAGAAATATACCTTGGAAAGAGCTTCCAGCTCTGGAAAACCTGGGCTCTTCCTCCCAGGAAGGGCTGTTTCCATCCATTTTTGGTGCAAAGACCCCTTTCCTGAGCCTGGATGTCACCCCCCAACCCTCTGCCTCAGCAGAGCTGCTGGAACTGTGCAGAAAAGCATCTCAGTCCCTGGGAATGTTGGGGCACCAGCCTGGATGGCCAAGGAAATTTGGTTTTCAGCACTAATAAATGGAATTGTGCATCAGAGCACGACTACCTGGCCACCAGCCAGACACATTCCAGGGATTTCCTCAGGTGGGGATACCTGGAGCCCTGCTGCTGTAGGGAGAAGAGTTTGGAGCCACAGCATGCCATAGGAGGCTCTCCCTGCTCCCCAGCAGTGTGGCCAGCCCAGGAGAGCAGCGCTGCCAGCCTTCCCACACAGCAGCTCCTGGCAGCCCGTGGTTGGGAGGGATGAGGGTGGGCACAGGGCTGGAGAAGCTCCTTGGCTCATCCTTGAGCAAGGCAGCATCAATGACTCCCACATCCCAGCTGTTCCTCGCTGTGGGAAAAGCCTCTCAGGTTTGAAGCTATTCCTGCTTTTCCCCCAGCCCATGGGATGCTTCCTGGTCTTGTCTTAGTCATTAACACACTCACCCAAAATTTACATATGAACCAAGAGGCTGGGGGACAGCAAAAAGCACCTTCAGCCCCATTTCTCTCCTCATCATCACCTTCTCAATGAGTACCTTTTGTTTAACCTCATTTGGTGGTGGCCACACACAGGTTCACCTGCCCAAAAGCAGAAGAAAGTGGCACGTTTTTAATCCAGCCCGTAATGCAAAGGGAGGGATGAAGCACATGATGCCCAGCAGGGAAGGATGCCCAGAGATGTGTCTTATGTAAGCTTTTGTGGGAACGTTATTTTCGGGAAACCTCGGTGTAATGAGTCATCATCCCTGCTGTAATTAACTCCCATAATGAACAGGGAGATTAGCATTAGGATTAGGAGGGGGGATGAGAATAAATTTGGGCCTAAATGAGATCAATCTGGGAGGTTAAAAAGCAGCTTTTGAGCATTCAGTCTCTGCAGTGAAAGCAATTCTTTTCTAATGCGATTTGCATATTCTTTTCTCTTTTTTTCCTCCCTTATTAAAGCAGAAATGAGTTTTAGTTTTATCATTTAAATTGCTATTTGTACCTTTTCCTGTCTTCATTCCCAGTCTTGGCTGGCCACCCCAGGGCTGCTCTGTTCTGCTCACAGAATCTGTAGGTTGTTCTGCTTTTTCACTGGTGCTGCATTGGGGTTGTTCACTGGCAGGGATTTGTTTGCCAGACCTGCTACTTCCTCCCCAATTTTCATTGAAGATTTCACTAAAGGTGCTGGTTCTCCTGCAAAACAATCCCAGAGCTCCCTCCAGAGCCAGGAAAACCTACCTGTTTGAGGCTGGGGAAGATAAATGTTTCTTAAATTCTGGGAATTCCAGCACTGACTGGCTGAAGGCCAAGTGTCAGGGCTGGGGAGGGGATGGGGAAGGTGCCCATTTGTTTTGGAAGCATAAAAAGCTTATTTTTACCTTCTGGGGTCTTCCAGCCCCCTCAGTGTTTTCCTCCCAAGGTTCTCCTCATTATCAAGTGGGTTTGGACCTGCTGCAGAGAACGCCATGTATATCTGGATTTGTGCCTCTTCCCAGCCGGGGCTGAGGTCCCAGTGACTCTCCTGCTGTCTCCCCAGAGCCTCTGGAGTTCTTCAATGGCTCCCTGGATGAGTCTCAGAGGGAAGCTGTGTCCTTCTCCCTGGCTCAGAGGGAGCTGGCCATCATCCACGGGCCTCCGGGCACAGGGAAAACCACGACCCTGGTGGAGATCATCCTGCAGGCCGTGCAGCAGGGCCTGAAGGTGAGCCTCACTGCCAGGGACCACCTCAGGTGGCCACCAGTGACCATCTCTGCTTGTGTGAAGGCCTCAGAGCAGCCTTCCAGTCAAGGGATTCTTCGTCAGGAAGTGGGGTGGTGTGGCCGTGTTCACAGGGGTCTGAGGATGAGGGGAGAGGCGAGGATCTGACTCCATGTTTCAGAAGGCTTGATTTAGTATTTTATGATATATATTATATTAAAACTACACTAAAAGAATAGAAGAAAGGATTTCATCAGAAGGCTGGGCTAAGAATAGAAAAAGAAGGAATGATGACAAAGGCTCTGTCTCGGACTCTCTGTCCAAGCCAGCTGGGCTGTCATTGGCCATTAATTAGAAACAACTAACATGGTCCAAGCACAGATCCACCTGTTGCATTCCACAGCAGCAGATAACCATTGTTTACATTTTGTTCCTGAGGCCTCTCAGCTTCTCAGGAGGAAAAATCCTAAGGAAAGGATTTTTCATAAAAGATGTCTGTGACAGGGTGGTACCACAAGGGGAAATGGCTTCAAATGGGAAGAGGGGAAATTTAGGTTGGATAGTGGGAAGAAATCCTTCCTTGTGAGGGTGGTGGGGCCCTGGCACAGGTTTGCCCAGAGAAGCTGTGGCTGTTTCCTGTCCCTGGAAGTGTCCAAGGCCAGGTTGGATGGGGCTGGGAGCACCCTGGGCTAGTGGAAGGTGTCCCTGCCCATGGCAGGGGGGCACTGGATGGGCTTTAAGGTCCCACCCAAACCATTCCAGGTTTCTGTGCTTATTTTGCACACTCCTGGGCTTTGTGGCAGCTGGAGCAGCTCCTGTTGGATCTGTGCTAATCCAGAGCCTGGCTTGGCTTGCAGGGACCAGGGACTTCCCCACCAGCTCCAATGGGGCGAGCTCAGCTTTGGGGTTCACTGGGCCCCTACAGAGGTGCTGCAAAGCAAGGAGGGAATTACCTGTGGTGATGCCAGGGCTGTATTCCCAGCAGCAGCTCGCTGGTGTCCCCCTCTCTGCTCACACCCGCCGTGCCCCAGCCCGTGGGTGCCCCCGGAGGTGCCCAGGTCCCGTTTGTCCCCGCAGGTGCTGTGCTGTGCCCCGTCCAACGTGGCCGTGGATAACCTGGTGGAGCGGCTGGCGGGCTGCGGGGCGCGGCTGCTGCGCCTGGGCCACCCCGCGCGCCTGCTGCGGCCCATCCAGCAGCACTGCCTGGACGCCGTGCTGGCCCGAGGGGACAGCGCCACCGTCGTGGCCGACATCAGGAGGGACATCGACCACGCCTGGGTGCGTGCTCCTGCTGGGGGAGTGCGTGCTGGCTGTGTGATCCCGTGAGAAGGGCACATTCCAGGGGGAAGCTCTTCCCTGGGAGTTGGGGGGGGCCTGGAATGGGTGTCTCAGGAAGCTGTGGCTGCCCCATCCCTGGGAGTGTCCAAGGCTTGGAGCAGCCTGGGCTGGTGGAAGGTGTCCCTGCCTTTATGAGATGATCCATAAGGTCTGTTCTAACCCATTTTGGGATATTTTTTTGGGACTTTTCTAAGCCATTTGGGATTCTCTGATTTTCATGTGCTGGAGGGCAGAACTCCTCCTGCCTGAATCCCTCATGGAAGTGGGAAAATTCCAGTCCCTGCTGCTGCCCCTCACGTCACCTGTCTGCCCTGATCCGTGCCCTCCCCTTTACCAGGGAAACATTCCCATCATTAATTCACTTCCTAACAAGCTGTCTGCCTGTCCTGATACTCCCTCCCACTCTCAGCCACCTCAAGCAGCAAGCAAAGCACATTTTAAAATGCATCCTTAATTTCTTCTTTCTCACCCTAATTTTCCTAACATTCCCTTACAACACAGCTCTGGTACTTGGGGTGAGGATTTGATGCTAATTAGGTTATTTTCCTTCCCTTTTCTGGTGGCAGCACTGTCCAAAAGCCCTTTTTTTTTTTTTTTTTTGCTTCTTAATTTATTTTCTATCTTTCTGGCTGGTGATTAATTTTCACTTTCATCTCCTTGGGAGGAGTGGGTCACAGAAGCTGCCCTTGGCTGCAGAGAGCTCATCTCCAAGGTCCTGACCCATCTTTTCTTCCTCCTGCCTCTGTTCCTCCACTGCCACATTCCCTGCTTTTCCCTGGAACAATTTCTCCCTTTGCAGCTCCATGTTTTGACTCTTCTCTCTCCTTCCCTTCTCCCCAGCCCACAGAAGAAGCAGTAACAGAAATTAAAGTTTTGTGGCATTTCTTACCCCTTTGTGCCTCCTCTTCTCACCTGGCTTTGAGATTGCCAGGACCTCAGCTTCTGGATACTCCTTGCCCCAGCAGGGTTTCAGCCCCACAGCACCTGAGAATGAAATGCAGCACAGATCCAGGGCCAGTGCAGCTCCAGGGATGCTGAGCAGGATCAGGGGGCAGTCCAGGAGGATGAGGCAGGGAATCCAGGGAGGAAGGCAGGCTCACTCCATGAGCTGGCCTTAAATACACTCCCAGACCTATGAGGGGATGAGAGAGCTCCTATGAGGCACGTGGGGATGATTAGAGTTGATATTCCTAATCCCTAACTAGGAATGGGTGACATGCAGACTGACCTCGTCCTCAGGGCCTGTGATCCCACACCTGCAGTTCCTGAGCCCATTTTGATGACACCTGACAGACACATGGAGGTTTCACAGTTTTAAATACCCACAAATTCAGCCAAAGCAGGGGGCTGAGGTGATCTGTGTTAGACCCTGGAAAATGCATCCATCCATCCATCCATCCACCCATGCATCCATCCCATGACTATAGGAACCATCCTAACTCTTTTGGCTGCATATAAGAGCTTCTTCCTGCAGCCTTTGCATCCTTCCCAGCCTTTCCTCCAGGGAAATGATCCCAGTTTCCATCTGGGATTGCTCAGTGAGCTGTGCTCCCATGGCTGCTGCTCTGGCAGTGCTGGTGCCCAGTGCTGGTAGATACATTTAATACCTGCTAAAAAAAGCCCTGGGCTTGTCTGGATGCTGCTCTGGATCCTTCCCAGCAGCTCAGAGAGGCCAGTTTGAGGTGGCAGATCTGCTGCTGGGGCTTGGGGAGCCCTTCTGCTTCCAGAAGGGCTCTGCTTCCTCAGAATAAGCTAGGAAATCCCAGTCCCCAAGACCCCTCTTCCCACACATTCCTCCCTCCCAGATGCTTTGGCTGGTCAGAGACATGGCCAGAACTGAATGGCAGCAGTTGGCTCTATCCAAATTTTTCTGTTTTCTAGGCAAAAACCAAAAAGGCCCAAGACAAGGGAGAGAGAAGCCATTTTCTGGGTGAGATCAAGACCCTGAGGAAGGAGCTGAAGGAGAGAGAAGAGGCTGCCATGGCTGCAGCCCTCAGCCAGGCCAGTGTTGTCCTTGCCACCAACACAGGTGTGAGATCCTCCTGCTGGTGTTTTCCTTCCCTTTCCAGGTAAACCAGGTGCTCTGCAAGGCAGCTGTCCTGGGAGGGCTGGCACACTTGCTCCCAGCTCCTGGGAGCTCAGCAAAGTCCCCCAATCCCAGTGGGATTCTCTCAGCTTCCGCTGTGGCACAGGATGTTGTTGAGCACAGAAGATGGATCTGGAAGGAGCCCTGTTAGCTCTGAGTAGGAGCAGGGAGTGCAGTGAGTAAACAAGTGCTGCTGGAGGTGTGCAGTCTGCTCCCCATGGCATAAATCACATGGCATTGCTTCCCTGCTTGGGCCCTTGCCAGGACTGATGAAACCCAGCACGAGTTTCCAGAGCCTGCTCCCAGGCTGCCTCTGCACTCACCCAAATGCTGTCACACAGGATTTTAGGGAGCAGGTCCAGGTGTCCATCAGGCAGCTGCAGCTGGGAAGGTTTGGCACGTGTGGAAGGGCTTTACTGGCTCAGGTTTTTCATACTCACTTAAAATCTTCAGATCTGGTTGCTCAAGGGTGATTTGTTGAAAGGAAACATCAATAATTGTAGGTCATAAAACAGCAAGTTACTGGAATGAAGGTTAGTGGACAGATAAATCTTTCCATGTCTTAGTCCCTGGGAGCTGGCCTCTCACTTCTTTCTACTTGCCTGAAAGACAGGGGGAGATTTCCTTCTCCCAGTAAAACTGGTTGTTTTGTTGATCAGCTGTGATTCTCCCTGGAACTGGAGCTTCCCAGCCAGCTGGGGAAGTGGCAAAAATCGAGTTATGACTGTACAACTCACCAGAGTGGATTCATACAGGCTGGAAACTAGTTTTGGAAGGAGAAGAGTGTCTTTGGTGGCAAACTGGAATGTCTGAAGTGATGCAGAGCTGCAGAGGCAGCAGGATTTACAGTGGCAAAGCCAAATCCCTGCTCTCAGAGCTGCAGGAGCACAGGAGCTTTGGAAAAAACCTTTCTGTAAATAAAAATCCCCTGGTCTGAGAGACTGGCTTCCTCACCCTGCCCTCCTCCTTTTGCATCCTTCTTCTGTGTGAACTGCAGGGAGAGTTGGATGCCCCAGAAATTCAGATTTCTGATCAATGTAAGGATCAGTATCAGTAGGTCTGGCTTAGAGCAGGATGTCTAATTCCTATGGTGGTTGATTTCTCTGCCAAGGAAATCCTGAGTGCCCTGAGCAGATGTTTTTTGCCTATTGATTGCTTTAGAGAAATAAAACTGGGATAAGTTGGACAGACAGAACCATGCATGGGATGCTTGGGAATATCTACTTGAAAGTACCTCAAGTACAGCTGGGAAAGGCAGAATTCCCAAACCCAGCCCACAGCAAGCAGGATTTGTTGCTAACATGGTTTCACCTTGTTTTGCCTGCAGGAAATGTTGTGCTTGGTCAGCCTGCCCTGTACGTGTCCACAATGGTCAGTACTAGGAAAAAACCAGGAATTGTTTCCCATGGAAGGCTGCAGCTGTGTCTTCAGCCATGGCTTATTTTTTCTTATTCATCCCTGAGGAGACAAATGTTACAAATGGACTTCTGATGTTAAAAATTAGCCCTTGCTGTGGCTGTGTGGTTCCAGTCTCCTTTCCCTCTTCCCAGTGCCACGAGAAGGAGCAGAGTGAGCCCATCTTCCCTCTCAGGGTGTCCCTCAGTTACCAGACAGGTGAACCCCCAGTCCCTCACCCTGTGAGTGCTGGGCATGAGGAGTTTTGTTGGCCCTGGGGGGCAGCAGGAAGGTGGGTGTTCCTTGTTCTGCTCCAGATAGAGCAGACTGGAGCATATCCTCTTTGGCATCTGGGCTTCACTGCTGTTCCCAAAGATACTTGGAAGCTTCTGGGCCTAGATGCCAGGGGGAAAATGGACAAAGAGGAGCTGGCAAAAACAATCCTGATTTACACATATCAATGGGTAGGTGTTTGGCAGGGCTGAATTCCTACATCTCTGCAAAGAAACATTATTTCACTTGCCTCAGTCACCATTACAGCTTGTGAGGTTTGTTTCCAGAGCAGGTTCTCACTCTTCCTTGCTCCCCTGCTCACTTGGGAACCTTCTCCTTCCACCAGGTGCTTCCTCAGACGGCCCCCTGAAGCTGCTGCCTGAAACCCACTTTGACCTGGTGGTGATTGATGAGTGTGCCCAGGCTCTGGAAGCCAGCTGCTGGATCCCTCTGCTGAAGGCTCCCAAGTGCATCCTGGCTGGGGATCACAAGCAGCTGCCCCCCACCATCATCTCCCACAGGTAAAAATCCTGAATCCTCCTGGTTTTTGTGCAGATTCTGAATCCTGGTGATTGGAGACATTTCATGGTGGAGATTTGTGCTGCCTGCAGGCTCTGTGGAATGCATTTGGGCTCATCCTCAGGCTAATCCAACTATTTCCTTTAATTCTGCTTCTGTGGTTTGCACATTTATTTATTTAATGTATTAATATGTGAATTGGCCCAGTGAGATGCTGCATTATCACACACCTCAGGGGTTATAAAACCTCCCAGTCCCTACAATGTGGATAATAAGAACAGTTAGTTTGTGCAAAAGATCTGTGGATAGTGCAAATTGCCTGTGCTTCCAGGGGGATGCTGCAAAGAGTACTGAGGAATCTTTGAGTAATTTAAAACATAAATGTGCTCGTGTTTATCTGGTTTAGGCAGCTCCAGATCTGGAATTACTGAACCACAGAAGCAGAGAAATAGGCCTGACTTCATAAACATCCTCTCCTGCTTGCAGAAAGTAATGAACAAGACACATATCTGCCACCTCCCTTGGATTTTGAGCACAGGAAATGAAAAATCCAAGGCAGGCAGCAGCTCCCAGCACATGGCCAAGAGATAGTGAGAACAACATTCAGGGGCTGCAGCATCCTCTCATTTTACCTCTCTCAGATGCCCAAAAGCTGCTGTTCTGCAGATCTTGGCAGGTGATAAACACATGCTCAACTGCCTGGAAGTGTCCAGGCTGGTGAGCTCCCAAAGCCTCTCCAGAGCCCTGCCCTCTTGGTCTTCTGCTGTTTATTCCCTGGGAATTTGCAGGCTGGCTCTCCATGCCTGGATTCTCCAAGCAAGGCACTTTTTGAAGTAGCATCTTGTTGGTAGCAAGAAGAAATTGGCCATTTGGTCCTTCTAATTTCAGAGTTGTTATTTTCTGTGAGTGGTGCATAAAGTTCCTCTTTTTCCCCAGAAAAATTTCATGATAGCTCCATAATGCTCCACAGTGCCCATCCAGCTGGATCCACCTCGGCAGCCTCAGCCTGGCTTCTCCCCAGACCGTCAGATTAAGGGCAAAACACAGCAAAAATCCCAGCTCTGTTGTCTGGAACGGGGCTGACACTCAGCTGCTGTCACTTTTGGCTCTCTCTTTTGAGACAAAAGCAGTCTTTCTTCACTCCACAAACATTGTAGCAGCTGCTTTTATTCTGCTCTGTCACAGTGGCTGCTGCCAGGAGCCTTGGCTGGAGCTGGAGGCAAAAAGCTCCTCCTGGATCTCCTCCTGCTCCTGCTTGAGGAGTTGTGCTTTTCTCTCCATCAGCTTTGACTTGGTGGCCTTGGCAGTGCTGGGGGAACATTAGACTCCATGATCTTAAAGTTCTTTTCCAGCCTGAACAACTGTGATGGAAATAAAGGGGATGCTGAGAGCCCCATCCTGGGCTTTCCACGTTCCCTGCAGGCCCAGGAAGCAGCACAGTGGCAGATCCCTTCCACCTCCTTCTGTGGGCATTTCCAGAGCTCCCACAAAGGCCCCAAATCACCTGCCAGCTCCTCTGTGGTTCAGGGGAAGCAAGGAGCTATTTCCAGGGATGATTCATGCAGAGGACTCCAACCCTTCCGCCCACCTTCCCCTTCTCCATTGATGACAGCGGGCCTGGAGTGGGTGGGCTCCTATTTTTGGGGCCACGGGGAAGGGTCTGAAGTTTTCTGGGATGAATCCAGGCTGGCAGGAGGCTCAGCTGTTACTACAGCAGTGGAAGTCTGCCCTGCTCAGGCAGGAAGCCTCTGTCCAGCAGGAATGCTGTGGGACTCTGTCCACCTTCCTGTTCCTGCTTTTTCCTTTATGGAATCAGCATTTACCTGTTCCTATCAGCAGTGACCCCTGAGGCCTATGGAATGTTTGACAGAAGGTCTGAAGGCTCCTCTTCCCTGCTTTCTGACGCTCCTGGAGCTGTCCCAGGATGCAGAGGGCATCCCCACACACACCTTCCAGTCCATGCTGGCAAATTCCAGCCCCCTCCAATTCCCCCTCGGCAGCTCCAGCCCAGGCTCACAGGCAGCATCTTCCACCTTGGAGATCCTCCTCCTGCAATTTGTCCTCGTCCCTGTGGGCATCTCCATGCCAGGGCAGTCTGTCAGGAACATTTGTTTGCCTTGTTGGAGCCCTCATTCCATCCTTTTCCAGATAAATTTGTCTCCACATCAGGGCTCTGATGTATTAATTTGGTTTTACTCCCCTCAGGTACTGGCAGATGCTTCTCAAACCTCTTGCTCTTAACAAACACAGGGATATTTTGCCATCTTGTCTGTCCATGGTCAGTCTGCACCATCCCAAATCCATGTGCTGATTCCTTTCACTTTGTCACTGAAGTGCCAGGGTTTCTCTGGTAGCCTCTACAACTGGAATGTGCTGGGGCACATCCATGAATTAACTCCATTAATGTGGAGGTCCTGAGGTGGGAAAACACAGTGACCTCCTTCTCCAGGCTTTTCCAGCCAAATCCAGTGTGTTCTGCAGGGATCAGTCACACTAGTATCTCCTATCTCAGGGATGAATAAGAAAAAATAAGCCATGGCTGAAGACACAGCTCCAGCCTTCCATGGGAAACAATTCCTGTTTTTTTCCTAGTACTGAGCATTGTGGACACGTACAGGGCAGGCTGACCAAGCACAACATTTCCTGCAGGCAAAACAAGGTGAAACCATGTTAGCAACAAATCCTGCTTGCTGTGGGCTGGGTTTGGGAATTCTGCCTTTCCCAGCTGTACTTGAGGTACTTTCAAGTAGATATTCCCAAGCATCCCATGCATGGTTCTGTCTGTCCAACTTATCCCAGTTTTATTTCTCTAAAGCAATCAATAGGCAAAAAACATCTGCTCAGGGCACTCAGGATTTCCTTGGGAGAGAAATCAACCACCACAGGAATTAATTGAGTGGTGAAATAACAGAAAATTATTAACAGGTGAAACATTCCTGAGCAGATTAATTCCTCATTATTAATTCAGCATATAACCTCCTGTGGATCTCTGTGGTGGGAATGCTGCTGGAAGGGTAGGGAGCAGCATTATTCCTGAGGTTTGCTCTGAGGTTTAGTGGCTGTTTCAGGCATGTGCTTGCACCTGAGTGCCAACAGCTCTCCCTGCTCAATTTCCTTCCTGTCCAGGAGATCCAGGCTCCATGGGCAGAGTGGAGCTGGGAGAATCAAGTTAATTCCTGATGTCTGGAATGCATCCCCCAAGCCCACATCTTGCTGTGTCCCCTCATCCCATCCCATCCACCCCATCCTCCCTCTGGCACACTGCTGCCTCCCACCTCCCGCAGCCCTGTCCCTCCAGAGGTTATTCCCATTTTTTTGCCTGCGTGCTGCATCCTCTGATTCAGCCAGGAGGAGAGCTAATGAGGCCTGGCTTCTTGGAAAGATTTGTCCTCAATTGTCCCTTCTGCAGGTTTAATAACTTGGCAGTGCCTGGTCACATTTCCCCAGTGCCTGTGGTGAGCGTGGCAGGGCTGGCTGGTGCCGCAGCAGCGCGCTCGCTGTGGGGCCGTGTAGCGCTGGGATTCCCCCTTCAGGGATTGGATGCGTGCTGTGCCCCAGAGCCTGATGGAAAGTGTTCTCCTGAGCTGTTCCCTGCCATCATTCCATCATCCTCATGCTGCTTGCTTGTGTCTGGCAGCCACCAGCACGCTCAGTGTCAGCCTCAGGATGAAAAATCTCCGTACGCTCACAGAATCCAAGGGCAACAACTTCCATCCTTCTTCCTCAGATGGTGCCTCCCAGCAAAGCCTCTGTGAGGCCAGGAGGGAGCAAACAGGCTCGTGAGAGGCTAAGTTCTGTAGGAATTTGATTCATTTGTGCCACACACATGAGCAAGGGGTGCTGCTGGATGTGATGGGGATTTAGTGGGTGAAGAAACAATGAGTGCAGTGCATCTGTGCCTCAGTCCAGGGTGAGTGGCCAGGGAAGGATGGAAATGCTGGAGTAGCAGTGGTCTTGATTAAAGCAGCAGGGGTTGACTGTGTGGGCCACAGGCATTCCAAAATTTGGGGTGGAGCTCTGATCCTATTGCAGAGGGTGATGCTGATGCTGTGGCTTGGCTTGCAGTAACACCAGTGTAGCCTTACACTGATGGATCACGGAATCATGGAACCACTGAGGTTGAGAATGACCTCCAGGACCACCGAGTCCACCCTGTGATCGATCCCCACCTTGTCAACCAAACCAGAGCACTGAGTTCCACATCCATCTGTTCCTTGAACACCTCCAGGGGTGGTGGTGACTCCAGAGGCCAGGGGCAGGATCTGTGCCCACGCTTCTCTGATGTCTGTCCCTGAGGGTCTGACAGACAGCACTGCTGGCACCCAGGTGGAACAGGGGTCACGGTGCCACCCCAGGGGAGCCACACGAAGGCGCTGAGCAGGGCGGGAGTGTTCCCGCTGGCACCCTCTGCCCCGCGTGTGCCGGGAGGGGCTGCCTGAGCCCCGTGCCGCCCTGGGGGATGGACACTCCCACTCTGAGGTGCCTCTCCGTGCAGGGCGGCGGCCGAGGGGCTGTCCCTGAGCCTGATGGAGCGGCTGGCGGGGCACTACGGGCAGCGGGCGGTGCGGATGCTGACGGTGCAGTACCGCATGCACCGCCTCATCATGGAATGGGCGTCCTCGGAGCTCTACGGCGGCCGCCTCAGCGCGCACCCCTCCGTGGCACAGCACCTGCTCAGGTGGGTTCCTGCAGGAGCTGAAATGTCCTTTTCATCCCCGTTCGTCCCTTCCCTGCGGAGTTTTCCGCTCCTCCTGAGGCTGGGGCAGTGGTTTTGTTTCAGCCATTGTTTCATCGAGGAGACATTACTGGAGGGTGTGTCCTTTTTGCTCTGTAACCAGAAGTGATGCAGACTTGTCTTCTGTGTCCTCCTTTGCTGTGATAATCGTGGAATCCCAGAATGATTTGGGTTGGGAGGTTGGAAGCCCACTCAGTCCCACGCCACGGGCAGGGACACCCTAGACCAGGCTGCTCCATATCCCATCCAGCCTGGCTGTTCCAGGGGTGGGGCAGCCACAGCTTGGGTGGATATTGCTGTGACAGCAGTGTTGGTAACCAGCCCTTTCCCACATACCTTGTGCAGGGACCTGCCAGGTGTCTGTGACACAGAAGAGACCAGCACTCCCCTGTTGCTCATAGACACCGCTGGCTGTGGCCTGTTTGAGCTGGAAGTGGAGGATGAACAGTCCAAGGGGAATCCAGGTACCACAATGGGAATCCAGGTACCAGAATGGATGGACTGAGGTGCTCAGCCCACCACAGGCTTGGCCACGTCCCACAGTTGTCTCCATGGGGTCCCAGAGAGCCTTGCTTCTTTATGGATCTTTTAAAGATCTTCCCTCCATAAATCCTCAGCCTCCAGGGACCCTGAGCTGTGTTGGAGCTCTGGGGACAGTGTCCAGCTTGTGGGTGGCCTCTCTGGCTGCTGTGTTCCCTTGCAAGGACATTTCTCTGTGCTGAGGGCTGGGACAGGGTGGAGAATCCCTGTGGAGGTGCTTTACAGCAAGGAGGGGCAAATAGCACCAGGCAGAGCACAGACCTATTTTGGGAAGGCCATGGATAAGGTTCAGAATTACCTCCCAGTTCTCTGCTCATTCCATGAAATCCTGTCTGGTTCTTCTGTATGGATTTTCCTAGGACACCAAGTTCTGCTGCTTTTCACCTGAAAAAGTGGATTTCATCATAGAGCTTGAGTGCAAAATCAGGCTGGAAAACACAAGGGCAGTTTTTACCAGTTTAAATATCTTTTACTTTCTGTTTGACACCCAGCATCATTTAAGTGTTTCATTTTTCCATGCACCATTCCCAGAGCCCTGCTGAACACAACAGGCTCTTGTTCCCTCGTGGAGAGCCAAAAAGCCTGGTCTGAGAGAACTCAGGGATTTGGAGCAGAGGATTAGAGGCACATCTCCCCAAATTTGGGAGGCAGCCTTTTGGCACAGCTCACTGCAGAGCCTTGATGTTTATTGCTGTGTTTTGCTGCAAAGCAGAAGCCCAGCCAATGAACCATGAAATAATTCATACAAGATTTAATTTTTCCCCTTAGATCTTTCTGAACCAGGCACCATTTTGAATAACCCTTTCATGGCAGCCTTTCCTGCTGTTTTGGGGGAGGTGGGCACATTGCTCTGGCCTCTGTCCCCTGTCACACTCTGTCCCTGTCCCAGGGGAGGTCCAGCTGGTGGGGATGCACGTCCAGGCCTTGGTGGACGCTGGTGTGAAGGCCAAGGACATGGCTGTGGTGGCCCCCTACAACCTCCAGGTGAGCTGTCCCTGTCCCTGCACACAGAGCACCACAAGAGCCCAGAGAGCTGCAGAGCCAAATTTAACCAGCATTTGGGACCAGCTCCTGCAGCTTTGAGCAGCCTGGGCCTGTGGAGGGAAGAGCTGTTAGTGAGGTGTTCCACTCACAGCCTCAGGAGATGCCCATCCTTGTGGCTTTGGGAGGGAGGGATTCCCCCCAAAACCCTGCTGTTTTAATCCTCTTCACCCATGTATTTCCTTTAAAAGCTGCCCTTGGCCTGTTTCTCAGGTGGACATGCTCAGACAGCACCTTTGCCACAGCCATCCTGAGCTGGAAATCAAATCAGTGGATGGTTTCCAGGGCAGGGAGAAGGAGGCAGTGATCCTGTCCTTTGTCAGATCCAACAAGAAAGGTAAGACCTGGCTGCTGGAGCATTGCTTCCCTGGGAATGGGGAGGAAGTTGTGTAGCCAAGTGCTGTGGTTTAATTGCAGTGCTCCAACACTTGGCTCTGGATGGATTTACTGGCAAACCCTCCCTTTTCAGGCTTGTTTAATTAATGGATATATGTGCTGTCAGGGCTGCAGGCTCCTGTGCTACAGCAGGTCCAGGATTGCTCACTTTGAAGGTTCCCTGACCCCTGAGGCCTCAAAAATTATTTAAACCAGCACCCTAAGAGTATCACATCCCATTAGCCCCACATTTAGGGGAGTTGGGGGGAAATTTCTTGGGTTTTGAGCCCATTTTGGGTGAATTCCCTGCAGAAAGTGAGCAGGAGCTGGCATCCCAAGCCGTGCATGGAAAATGCTGCTTGTGGAGGCAAAATCTAGAGCAGAAAATCAAGTTCTTTGCTATCAGCAGCTGCAGTGGAAGTTAATAGCTGGAAAAAAGCTGCTGCCCTGGGGGCACAAGGCTCCTGTTCAGGGAGCTGAAGGGTTTGATGGAGCTGGCTCGGCAGGATTGTTCTGTGGTCACCTCTGTTCCATGCTGGGATCAATTCCCTTTCCAAACTCACAGTCCTGTGGCCCTACCTGTGCTGCTGGAGGGCTGGAAGGGGAAAAAAGGGGGGAAATATGCATGGAAGGAGAAGGTGCCTCTTTTTCCAAGCCTAGAGGAGGAAAAGCAGCCTTGTGGGGAGAATGGAGGTGGGGACAGCACTAAGAATAGTCCTGATCCAGGAGTGACTCACCCCTGTGCTGCTGGGAGCTGGTGGCCCTCAGAGGGTGAGTGTCCCACAGCTCCTTCTCCTGCACAGGGAGAGGCCAAAGCTCAGGTGTGGGGCAGGAATTGCTTTTTTGGGGGAACAGGGAGGCTTCTGCTTGACCTGCCCCTCTGCAGCCATTCCTGATCCAGCAGGAAACCTTCAATTAAGAGGAAATTTTTCCCTCTGAGGGGGCTGAGGCCCTTCACAGATTGCCCAGAGTAGCTGTGGCTGTCCCTCCCTGGAAGTGTCCAAGGCCAGGTTGGACAGGGCTTGGAGTCTGGGATAATGAAAGGTATCCCTGGCAGGGGGTGGAACTGGATGAGCCTTAAGGTCCTTCCCAACCCAAACCATTCCAGGATTCAAAGGAGTTGGATTTGCCCCTGCAGCTGGGTTAAACCTCATCAGAGAAACTGGGAATTGTTCCCCGAGCTGCAGAGCAGGGAGAGGGGCTCCCCCTCAGCCTGTCCCTCTGAAAGGCAGCCCAGGAGAGGCTGCTGAGGCAGAGCCAGGCTGGGCACTGCTCTGGCAGAGGCATTAATCTCCTCCTGCCTGGCCTGCTCGCTGTTCCCTGGAGCTGGGAGCTCACAGCCACCCACGCTCCGCTCGCGCTGCCTGATCCTGCCTGAGTCATCCCGCCATGCTGGCTCTCGTGCTGTCTGTGAGCAGCAAAACCTCCCAAATGGCTCTTCCTACAGACCCCAGGGGATTTGGGAGCAGGGGGAGCTCTGTAGGACAAGGGGGAACTCTTTACCTGCAGTCTCTCTTCTATTGCAAGGTGAGCCTTTTCCACGCTGCTCCATCTTGTGTTTGCTCCCAGCTCCGAGCTGAGCTTGTGTCGTGGGCCAGGCAGGGAGATATTTCCCCTTTCCATGTGCCTTCCATCCTCCTCCCTGCCCCTGGAGGCAGGGAACCTGCAGGGAGCCTGTGCCACACAGGTAGGAATAGGAACAGCTGTGAGCAGAGCTCCATAAATGCCAAATCTCACCCTCCAGCCAATAAATCCTTGGATCCCTTGGACCAAACTCCTGCTTGGAGTGCATAGGGTCTCCCTCTACCTGTCCCTCTACCTGACAGAGTCCCTGTCCCCTCTGGCATCCTTCCCTCCTGTTTTCCCAGGTGAGGTGGGTTTCCTGGCCGAGGAGCGGCGCATCAACGTGGCGGTGACGCGGGCGCGGCGCCAGGTGGCCGTGGTGTGTGACAGCCACACCGTGGGCAGCCGCCCCTTCCTGCGGCGCCTGCTGGACCACCTGGCCCAGCACGGCCTCGTGCGCTCCGCCTTCGAGTACCTGGATGACCTCGTGCCCCAAAACTACCCCGGGGAGGGCCAGGCCCAGCGCCAGCAGGGCCCCAAAGCACCAGGCCCTAAAGCACCGGGCCCCAAAGCGCCGGGCCCCAAAGCACCGGGCCCCAAAGCGCAGCCGGCTCCGGCTCCGGCTGGGAAGCTCAAGGCAGCAGCAGGCGGAACAGGGAGCCAGAAACCGGGAGCGCGGAGCTCCCCGAGCAATGCCACAGCTGGGAAGGAAAACTCAGGGTCAAAGGAGGGTGGGGACAGGTTCAGGGCCATGCTGGTGGCCTTCCTGGCAAGCAGCGAGGTGCAGCTGGATTTCCCGACGTCCCTGAATTCCCACGAGCGGATGCTGGTCCATGTGCTGGCAGAGGAGTATGGGCTGCAGCACCTGAGCTCTGGGGAGGGCCGGGACAGGTACATCAGTGTCCACAAGAGAGTCCCCAAGCAGCCCACGCTGTCCCCCGAGCTCCAGCTGCCTCCCGAGCCCCTGCTGCCCTCAGAGCCCCTTCCCGAGCTCCCGCTGCCCTCTGAGCCCCTTCCCGAGCCCCAGCATCCCCACGGGAACACCCCTGACCCTGCGGAGCCAAAGGAAAGCAGCAAGAGCTCAGGGAAAGTGGATCTGAAATCCCTGCACCTGGAGAGAGTCCAGAGGGAGAAAGCCAGGCGGGAGGAGGCGGCCAGGAAGGTGCAGGAGCCCAAGAGTGGCAAAAGGAAAAAGGACAAAAGCGAAGCCAAAGGTGGGTGAAGATTTTTGTAAGCAGCAGAATTAATGCTCTTCTTTGAATGGGTCTTAATCCGGGTGGGTTTGCTCCAGAGTTTGGGATTTGGGCATGGAGCATGTGGCTCTTGGAAAGCTGCAGGGAGGTGGGAACTGGCTGCAGCATCCAGCATTCCAGGTTTGGATACCTGGAAGCACATTCTGTAAGTGAGAGGAAAAACACTGGAGACCCTTTCCCAGGAGAGAGGCTCAGGAATCACACGGGAAGCTCCCAAGAGTGGGGAGAGGAGCTGAGGGGAGTACCTGCTCACACTGAAGGATGTAAAGGCAGAGGCTGCCCTGGGGCTGCAGGAGGGTGGGTTTGTTCCCCGGCCCCAATCCAGGTGTGTGTTCACCTTTCCCAGCAAAGCCGGCGATCGGCAGCGCGGCCGGAGAGGATTTTGATGCTCTGATCTCGGCTGCCATGGAAGCTGACAGGACCTGTGCCTTCCCCCGCTGCAAGGCCTCTGTCACCACCCTGGGCCAGCTCTGCCACCACTGCCAGCGCCTCTTCTGCCTCAGCCACCACATCCCCGAGGTAAGGAGGGGCGGGATGGGCTCAGCCTGGGAATATCCCCTGTGGAGCTTTCTGGGAAGGGTTTCCTCGAAAGGAGTTTGAGCAGAGCCCTCCCTGTCAGAGCCTGTGCCGAGCTCAGGTACACAGGGCTGGCAGGTGCTGCCACCTGGGCTCTGCTCACCTCTTCCTGAGGGATTTTGTGTTTTCCTCTCATTTTGTGCCCTTCTTTACCATTTTCTGGCACATATACTCTATGTGGATAAAGTGAGGCAGAGAGCAGAAATGGAGAAGCACAAGTTTCAGGCTGAAGAGAGCCTGGACTCAATTCCCAGCTCTTTGCATGTTCCCTCTGCATTCTAAGGGTGATCCCAGCCCTTTGCAGATTGTCTCTGCATCCTGGGGACAGGACAGGCATGCTGCAGTGCTGCCTGGCCAGCAATTCAGAATTCTCTGTGTCCTTGTTCCTCACCCTGTGGAACTCCCAGGAGCTCAGCAGCCCCATAAATCCTTGGCAAGCTTTTCCCTCTGTCAAGAGCTATCTGTTTCCATGGCAAGGAATGGTTGTATTTATGGTCACTCACATCCAGGGGGATGGAGATTTATTCCCTGCACAATGGCCTCTCCCTGCTGAATTGTGACAGGGCTCCAACAGTGGTAGGGATTCAAATCCATGTCAGCCCTGGGAAGGGCTGTCACAGCTCTGAGGGAACAGGCTGGGACCAAACTCCATGGAAGCATAAATGACTTTGGGATGGGCCAAGAAAAGGGATCAGGATCTCACTTGCGAGACATAATTGCAGTGTTGGACTTGGCTCATTAAAGCAGCAGATTCATGGCTAAAAAAGGTCTCCCATTCCCCAAAACTCCCTTCCCAGTTCACTGGAAAGAAGGTGGAAGGAGCCACTTGAACCACCCCAAAGGATGATTTACCTGCTGTTCAGAGCCCAGGGCCTGGATCTTTATATTTCTTTCTGTGTGAGAGGAGCTATAAAGATAATTTAATAAAGTGCAGAATAATAAACATTAATTATGAATTATAAACAATAAGTATAAGAATAAATCTATAAAACAAATCTATAAAAATAAAGAATAAATCTATAAAAATAAAGAATAAATCTATAAAAATAAGGAATAAATCTATAAAAATATAGACTCTAAATATAAAATGAAACTAAATAAAAATAAAATTAAAATACATAGAAATAAAAGAAATAGTAAATGATGATAAATAGTAAACTATGATAATAAACAATAGTAGTACAATGATAATTAAAATAAATCTGTAAAAATAAGGAATAAATCTATAAAAATATAGAATCTAAATATAAAATGAAACTCAATAAAAATAAAATGAAAATACGTAGAAATAAAATAAATAGTAAACAATGATAAATAGTAAACTATGATAAAAATATAATAAACAATAGTAGTACAATGATAATTAAAATAAATCTATAAAAATAAAGAATAAATCTATAAAAATATAGAATCTAAATAAAAATAAAATGAAAACACAGAAATAAATAGTTAACAATGATAATAAATAGTAAACTATGATAATAATAAACAATAGTAGTACAATGATAATTAAAATAAATCTATAAAAATAAAGAATAAATCTATAAAAATATAGAATCTAAATAAAAATAAAATGAAAACACATAGAAATAAATAGTTAACAATGATAATAAATAGTAAACTATGATAATAATAAACAATAGTAGTACAATGATAATTAAAATAAAATAAAACAATATAAATATATAAATTAATTAAATAAAAAATAGTAAACAATGATAATAAAATAATGAACTGAATTTATAAAAATATGTAAGTATATAAAGCCATATAACAGCACAATATATAATAATATATAACATAATGATGAGAATGGCTGTAAATGGTGGGAGATGATTTCAGGGGGATGCAATCAGGCCCAAAGGAATTGCAGGCTCAGGGAGTGGCAGCCCTGGCTCCCAGGAGGGTGATCCATGCCCCCGTGCCCGTTCTCCCCGCAGGTGCACGGCTGTGGGGACAGGGCCAAGGGGCAGGCCCGGCAGCGCATCAGCCGCGAGGGGATCCTGTACCCCGGCAGCGGCTCCAAGGACAAGTCCCTGGATCCCGCCAGGCGAGCCCACCTCCAGCGCCGCCTGGACCAGAAGCTCGGCGAGCTGACGAGCCAGAGGAAGGGCAAAAAGAAAGACAAGGAGAAATGAAGGACCTGAATCCTGCTTTTTTAACCTCAAAGCCCCAGATCCCCCGGGGCAAAGCTGCTGTGCTGGGCCTGGGTGGAATAGGGGGCTCCATTCTGGGGGGAAACCTGGAGCTGGGAGCCTTCCCGAGGTGCAGGGGAGGGAGAGCTGCTGCATTGTCCTGGTTATCCCTGTGGACACGCTGATGGATGCACTCAGGGGCCAGAGCACGCTGGTGAAACGGGCATTAAACACCCAAAGCTGTCACTGTCACATCGGTCCCTGCGGCAGCACATGATGGATGCCTGGGAACAGGAACGTGGGAGGCATGGAAAACCCTGGGTGACCCTGTGCTCCAGGGAGGATGGCTGAGGAAATGGATGTGTCCCAGCCCAGCAATCCCCTGGCTCTGCTCAGAGCTGGAGGGAGCCAGCCCATCCATGCTGCAGCCATTGCCTCCCCACCTGGGCCAGGGGCTCAGGAGGGGCTTCAGCCCTGCTCCAGGTGTGCCTGGGGATGGGAATAGGGATGGGTTTGGGCCTCAAGCCCAAACCATGCTGGCATCACGAGGAGCTGCTCCAGCACATGGAACCATTTCCTTGGGAGAGCCTTTCTGTGTCACTGGGAGGTCTCTCCCTCCTCACTGCTGCCTGTCCCTTGCCAGACCAGTGCTGCCCTTCCCACAGAGCTCCTTGGAGGCTGATTCCCACTGGGAAAGCCCATAGCGACAGCAGAGTACAGCAGGTGAGCCTTGCAAATGGGAGGGAGACTTGGGTCCATCCTGGACCTTTTCCTAATCCTTCACACAGAGTCCATCCATCCCACCCCCAAAATAGCTCCAGCAGCATTTTTTGTCCCCTGGATGAAGGAGAAGGTGCAGAGGTGCCTCCAAATAGGAATGGCTGGAGAGGAGCACAATAAAAATGCCTAACCCACACATTCCCCATCCTTTTGGGGCTAAACATCACAGATTCCAGCATTTCTGGAAGTCACTCACCTCATCCCAGGTAAAGCTCAGCAGTTGGCAGAAGATGCCAGACAGCCAAGGATTTCTGTGTCCATTTCTCCCCAAATACTTGGCAGGGATAGCTAATAAGCAATTTTCCCCCCAAACCTCGTGGGCTGTGAGTACTGGCTGTGAACATCTTCCCACAAAAACTTCCTTCAGAAAACCTCATCCTTCAAACCCCTCCATGCTTGGCTGGTGCCTTGGTGCTGTGCATCATGCATGGAGGGGTGGCACTGGCTCCCCTGGCAGCAGGTGGGACAGGGAGAGGTGGGGAAGCGTGGGAGAAGGGAGTCTGGGCACCAGTGGGTGGAGACAGGCAGGGGGAAGAGCCGGAGCAGAGGGGGATGGTGGAACAGGGACATCACAGCCCTGTCCCAGAGGGAAGGTCAGGCAGCACAGATGGGAAGGGGATAACTCACCTTGGAGTTACTTTTTAGTCAGGGAAAAACAGATAAATGGCTCATTCACAGCTTTTTCCCTGCTGAAATCATCCAAGCAGCCACATTCCAGCCCGTGCTCATCCCATGGTGCCAGTTCCATGGCACAGGGTCCCAGACACCCCCAGATTTCCCAGCCTGGCTTCCCACCAGCATCCTGCAGGCAGGGAAAAGCCAAGGCTGCAGGCTCCAGGGATGTGGCCCCAGTTCATCCTCTGCTCTCCAGCCTGTGCCATGAGAGGCTCCATCACCTTCCACAAACCAGAGTGGGAATTAGCTCCCCAAAAATCCCAAACCTGGCTTGGGACAGAGCCCAGCAGCAGACAGGATCCACACAGGCTTCCTTCTGAAACAGGAGTTGGGCTTAAAAACTATAAAATTAGGGACCTTTCCCACCTGCCTTGGGTCACAAGGCCAAGATGTTCTTCTCTATGCCCAAATCTTGGATAAAATGAATTATAGAGTAAGTCACAGCCCAAGTCCAGGATTAGGGGCTGGAATAAACAATCCCCAGTTGTGAGAGTTGTGTTAAGGAGCAGGAATTTGGAATGCTGTCCTGAGCACTCTGAGGGTGAGTTTGGGTTGGAAATGTGGCTGGGGTGGGAAAATCTGCCCCTGATCCTACTGGACCTTTAGGGGACGATTCCCAGCGTGGATCTGACCTCAAACCCAAGAAGTTGAAAATCAAGTGGTTGGAAACCAATCCCTGCCTGTGCAGCCAGTGGAGATGGGCAGGGATTTGCTGTGTGGGGGAACAGACGGGAGGAAAAGCCATACGTAACAAGTGATTTTCTGCTGTTATTGCTCCCTTTTTCCATTCTCACTGGAAACATTCCAACCCTGGCACGGCGCGCCAAAGTCACTACAAAAGATCCCCTCAGGATCACCACCCACGCCAGGCTGGCTTTTGTCACCCCTCTCACCATTCCCACCCGGAAACCACCGTCCAAAGGAATCCCACCCAAGAACCACCTTCCAAAGGAATCCCCCTCTCCCTTGCTCAGAGTCCCCATTTGAGGATTCCATGGATTTTGAGGCCGTTGAGAGCACACGGACCGCTTGGGAGCCGCAGTCTGGGGAGGTTCCTGCTGGTTTTGGTCCATTTGGCTCCGGCCTGGCAGCTCTGGCCCGGCACATGGGGAGTGACCCGGAATGTGCCCACGGAGCCGCTCTATCCATGCTCCAGGTGCTTTGGGCCCCTCAGCAGCTCGGCCCTGTGGGTGCCACCGAGTCCCTGCTGCGGGCCCGCTGTCCCCAGGATCTGGGGCTCCTAATTCCTGCGCAGCGGGTGCCACATGGAGACGGGCTTGCGGAGCGTGGCCAGCATCTGGTTCCAGTGCGTGGTGCCCATGCCGCTGGCCGCCGGCCCGATCAGCACGTGGCCCGTGTTGTCACCGCGCCCGTCCTCGCCGCTCTCAGCCACCGTCACGCGCAGGGACAGCTCCTGCCGGGCACGGGGATGTCACCACACACACACACACCCGGCCAGACACGTGTCCCTGTGCCCTCTGCATGGGGACATGCACCCACCAGGCCAGCACATCCGTGTGTCACCACCCAGCCTGCCATAGCCCATGTACACACAGCCTCCACCCTGTTCAAGCCCACCCCTGTTCTTGAGGCCCCCCAAAATCCCTAAATACCCACCCTCATATCCCCCCCACACTTACACATCCCTCTCTTTTTACCCCACATCCCCTAAACCCTTCTTTGTTGTTCAAACCCACCCCTGTTCTTGAAGGACCCCAAATCCCCACCCTCATATCCCCCCTACACTTACACATCCCTCTCTTTTTACCCCACATCCCCTAACCCATCTTCACCCTGTCCACATACCAAACCATCCCTGTGCACCCTGCTATATCCCAACCCACACATCCATATCCTCCCCAAGAGTCCCACCCCATACTCATCCCCCCTCCAGCAGCCATTTGCACACATCCACACCTCTCCAAGCAGCCCCCACTCATCCCTATACCCCATAACAGCCCCCACACATCCCTATACCCCACAACAGCGCCCACACATCCATATACCCCACAAAAGCCCCCCCACACACCTACAACCCCCAAAATCAGCCCCCAGAACCCCACACCTCCAAGAGCTCCCCTGAGGAGCCCTGGGATGTGCCCCCTCCCCAGCCCCCTCATGCTGGGCCAGACCTGGAGCACGATGGCGGGCACGGAGAAGATCATGGCCTCGTTGAACACGGGGTTGGTGTCTCCCCTCTTCACCGCTGTCTTCTTCTTGCTGATCTTCCTCCCGTCCTGCAGCAGGTACACCTTGACGAAGGGATCTGCTCGGAGGGCAGGAGAGGGATCAGTGTTCCCAGTCATGTGGGGAAAGCAGGAGGACCTTTCTGGTGGCCCTTCCCGGCAGGTCTGTCCTCACGGGGAGCCACTCCCAATGAAGCAAACGGGATAAATCAGGACAAACCCCACCTTGGAGCCCCCCTCACCTGCAGTCACCTTCCCATTGCTCCACACCAGGTTCTTGGCTTTGACCACCACCACAGTGAGCCGCTCGGCCGTGGGCAGGTAGCTCAGGGAGAGCAGGATCTCCCCCACCGTGTCCACCGCCTGAGGGACACCACAGTCAGGACACAGCCACGTCCCAAACCCCCGCTGGGAGCGGGGACACCGCTGGCTCACCTTGTTGGTGTCCTGCAGGTAGAGCCAGGCGTTGAAGGGGCGCGTGGCCAGCTCCAGGTCGGAGAGCTTGAGCTCGGCCGCGCCGGTGCTGACGCTGCGCTCGTCCTCATCCACGCCGAAGACGGAGAAGCGCAGGCTGTTCTCCTCCAGAGCCGCCGGGTCCAGCGGCACCGAGAAGCGCTCGTCGAACGCCACCGAGTAGGAGCTCCTCTGGATCTGCCGTGGGAAGGGGGAATAGCCCTGGCACGCCTGGGGCTGGGGGCTGCAGCCCTGCTCGGCCCCATCCCGTGGGCATGGATCCCCAGGGCACGCCCCATCCGACCGGGAGGGTTTATTCCCGACCTGACTGCAGCAACTGCTCAGCCACTGAGGTGAAAACAGGGCTGTGACCTGCCCCAGTGACTGTTAATTAGTTTAATTAGAGAATCAGCGTTGGCCCAGTGCTCTCAGATAGATCCCAAGCCCCTGGGAGTGCGGATGCACATCCAGCTTGGCCGTTATCAGGGTGACAGGATTTATAGCTACAAGGTGTAACCCTCGGCCATTCCCCAAGCAGAGCCAGCTCCTGAATGTGCCCAGTGGGAATGGAGCTGTGTCCCTGTATCAGGTCATTCCCTGGGAGCACAGGCAACAGCAGCTCCCATGGCTCATCCTGCAGGTGCTGATCCCAAAGAACTGGCCGAGGGGAAATGCTCTGAAGTCATGGATTTAGGGATTTTTTTTTTTCCCTACTCCAGCCCTGTTTCAGTACTCAAGATGTCCCATGGGATGGAAAGCTGCAGCCTTGGATAGCATTGGAGCAAAGTGGAACCACCAGCTCCCCAAAGCCACCCAAATCTGGGTGGAGTAGGGACGTCTCTGTGGGGCTGTGTCACCCCTAAAGCCCACCAGGAAATTCTCCAAGGACTCTCCAGTCACCTCCTCCAAGGACTCTCTCCTGCCTCAGTCTGTTCCTAACCCTGCTCCATCCCTGGGATAAAGGACACAAAGGCAGCACCTGCCATTCCTGCCTTCTTCGTCCATGCTCTCCCAATGGATACCACCAACCTCCAGAGTTCCTCTGTGTGAAGAGCAGATTTTAAAGCCCTGCAGATTTTACAGACTGTCTGTCTGCAGCCCACACTGTATTTTGGGAGCTCTGGATCAAGTACAACCAAACAGGAGCTGCTATTTTAAAACCCTCCAGAAGCACTGGGGGAAAAAAAATGGCTGGGCCTTTATCCATGGCCTTGGGGCAGCTGAGGAGGTAAATTGTGCTGGTGAATTATAAATAATGACACTAAATAATAAATATCTCCAGAGCATAAATAAAGAGCCAGAGATTTGGATGGGAAAATGGTCTAAAAGGGCACTGTGGAAATGTTTTGGAGGCAGCAGCCGGTTTGTGGAGATGGAA